GTCGTACTTCGAAAGTGCGACCAAGACACAGGGGCGTCGCTCTCATATAGCCTTCCGAAATCCTCCTCCTGAGAGTAATCGGCTGCCGCAGCTGAGAACGCTTCTCACCCAGTCTCGTCCACGGGATTCAGCGACGGTCGGGACGAACCCAGCGAGAGCGACACCCCGCGTCTCGTTCCAGAACACGTCGTCTCGGTCTCTCGTGCCTCCCTGGACCGCGCCTGCTGCTCTCTGGGAGTCGGTCGGTCAGCCAGAGTCCCGAGGAACGCTTGGAAGCTAGCTCTGTCCTGAGGTGTCCCCAACATCGTCACAAACATTCTTCGATTCTCCTCGGCTCGTAGTGACGCGCCAAACAAGCTCTCGTCTTCCTCCTGGGTCGATAGTTCCCTTAGACCTTCTACAGCTCGTTCCGTCTGTACCTCGTTCGCCTCTCCGGTTTCACCATGCGTTCAGGGATCCGCTTCGCCGCCTTCGCCTTCCGCAGCCGGGGCGTCAGCGACTTAGTCCTCGTCCGCTTCCGCCAGGATCCGTGCGAGGTGCTGCTCTATATCCTCTATCGGATCGTTCCAGTTCAGGGAGCTCATCTCGACCAGCTCCCTTGCACCTTCGCCTTAGTACTTCGACGCTATGGTTTTCCAAGCGGCTCTCTCCGCTCTCTCTCTCTTACGTTCCTACGAAAATTGGCTAGAAGATACCCTCCTTCTCCACCAAATTGTCGCGGTCTCCTTCTCTTGTCGGGGTCGTGTATCTTGTAAAAGCCGACGTAGGAGCTTAGACGTAATAGATGAGTAAAATGTACTTGTTTCTTATTTCTATTCCTGAGCACTTCTCGTAAAAGAAGGAAATTCACGACTGACAGCACCCTCACCAGCCCTCTAACTTACCAAAGTACCTCCTACCAGAGTACCTCTAGTCGTAGTTTGTGAACGGCGCCAGCGTCCCACTGTCTGAACCTCTTCGTTCCATTTTAGACTAGGGACGAGGTAGCTGGCGACGGGGGACGGGGCTGATCGGGCCTGGCACTCTTCTTACGTCGCTCACTGAATTACCGTAAGCAGTCGTCCAGTAGCGAGTCCTTCCTCTAGCTGAAGACCGTGACATTTATTCGCCCGCGTTTCCTGCTTAACCCATGTAGACCGAGCTCTATTCTGTATTATACAGAACAATTGTTTGATTAGAATAACATATTGCTGTTAGCTCGGTAAAATTAATCCGTTGCAAGCCGTTCGGCATGAGCAGTGTCGTAGACGCTGTGAATTGGGACATAGGTGATGTTTTGGCTGCCATAAATGCAACAATGTACCCACCATCTGTACGATATCTCTGTTTTTATTGGCTTAGAAATGATGTGCAGCGAACGATGTCTGTCATAAAAACTTTGATTATCAGTATCCCCCGGAATCCGATAGCAAAACGGTTTTGGCGCCAGAATGACTGGTCGCGCTAAAGGTTTGTCGGCGCGTCGGCGCGTTCCCACACCAACTTTTCGGCCAGTTCTAGACTAGACGGAAGTGAAGAAGAACTAGGCTAGAACTTGGCCGAAATGTTGGTGTGGGAACGCATAGAACTACTGACAGGGAGAAGGAGGTATTTATTTCAATGCGGCATTAGAAACTAATACTTCGCTAACTAACCTCGGCATGCTCTCATGCATCTTCGCTGCGTTTACGCTTACGGAATCGAATATTCTTCCTCAGGTGAGCAGGTATGGCAGTGCCGTTTGCCCAAAAGTCATGCCAAATTTGATCGCATGTGAGTCGGTTTCCTGCTTCTTTTCGGCGCACGCAGTTGCAGAGGGGGACATATCCATCGTGCAGCTCCTCACAGGCCTCGCAGAAAAAACGGCTCTCAACCCCTTTGGTTTTGGGTGGAGCCATAGCAGAACAAACCTTGCATAGGTGCTGACGTCGCTTGTCCTTGTATTTTCTCTCTTGCTCTTGTAGTTGGTGCTCGGGTCGAGGCAGTGGGATCGAGGCCAAGTCTTCTGCTTGCTTATTACTAGCCAAACTTGGCGCGGTGAGTGCTAATAACTCGACATGTAAGAGACGCATGTACTCTGCATGACTTGGTACTGGTTTGCCATCTTTTCGCATTTTTATCTTATGCACGATGAAGCCGCTCACGATGGCCATGTCGACGAACCCGAGAAAGAGCTGCCGGTAATACTTCTTGAAGGCAACGCATCGCTGGATTGAATACCTCTGGGGACGTAACTGGTCGTGCCGGTCAACGCCCCCCCCATTCCACTATGATAATCGGCAAGTAGCTTACCACTTGAGATATCGCGGATCCCTTCTCCTTTCTGGTGACGGTGGTAGCCGTGGTTGCACAACCGGTAGCAATTAGATTCACAGGTTTTGAGTCCATCCAGGACACAGCAACCAGGTCAGGGTGATCCTTCGACTGGGCAATACGGTAAGTTCCCCGGGGCATCGACACGGGCCGCTTTTTCTGTGTGAACGCGAATCCAGCTGGCCACCCGAGACGGTTGCTTCGGTGAGTCCCGACGTAGTAATACCCTTTCTCCATCAGCGCGATCGCGAGTGCGCACGATGAGTAGAAGTTATCCGCAATTATAAGACGTTTTCCCTGCTGCCCATCCAGAGCTTTGGAGACGTTGCGAATGACAGCTTTCTGCGCGACTCCCTTCGCTTTATACTTGGCTACTTTTCGTTCTGCAGGAGTCTGCGCGTTCTTCGACTCGTTCGAGGCACCCATGTACACTTCAATGCTGAGCCATACAGAACACCAAGCACAATAGTCAGCTAACTCCGTATCCGACAGAACATGCCATTCTGTACCATCCGGAACAAGCTAATCAGCGTAGCTTATGCTGTATCGTACAGAGTAAAAAGAGAATACGAACCGAGAACAATACCCGGATTCCGCACAGCAGGTCATGTACACCTTCGTCCCGTACTTATGCGGTTTGTCCTTGTTGTAGACGCGCACCGGATTGAACTTACTTCGGTTAGGAATGGTCCCCTCGTCGAAGCTAATGCGCGCTCCAAGTCGATACCCTCGGCGAAACGTCTTCTCCAGTGTCTGCAATACAGGTCGCACCTTCCAAGCCTTGTCAATCGTAGCAGCGCCCGCGGCTGAGCTCTGAAAGTGAAGGTATCTCATGATGGTACTAAAACGATCCCGAGACATGTATCTGATGAACGTTCCTCGGGGTATCGCTCCATCCTCCTGTGTCCGCCAGTGCTTGTCGAGGCCATCCGTGTGACTGCACAACGACCGCGCTATCAGCAGACCCACCACATGCAAAATTTCGTGAGCCTTTATCGATCTTGTCTTCGTCAGCTTCTCCACCAATGCTTCTACTGGTTGTACTGTCTTCGTGGGGTCCTTTGCACTAGCCTCGAGCTGCTTAGCACGCTGGGTGGCAGCGACACTTGGTATACACTCGATACGATACGCCTCGGACTCCTTCGCAATGTGAAACCACAACTTCTTAGGGAGAAAGTAGAAAAACATACCCAACGGCGAACTGGCGAAGGCTGCGGCAGACCTGGTGGGCCCCCATGTTCCGTTGTATAAGTCGGTTGCTTCATCAAGCTGTAGGTCGCCTGTACTCCGGATTATACAGAATTACAAACATGTTAGAAAAACTACCAGGCACAGCATATAAAGAGGCAGCTGAAAGTACTCTGTATGATACTATCTTATCACAATGGTTTTGATCATAGATCTCCCAACCAGAAGCAGCCATCGTGCGCATAGCAATATCATCTTGTGCAAATTCGCTGCTGTCGTCTTCAAACTCGTCATCTGATTCCACCTCGCTTTCGTATAATTCGGATAGGTCCCCAGGAGCATCGACAGGATCTCTAACAGACTCAACGTCTTCTTGAGGCGCCAGGCTATGGTCAGCTATGTTCACATCGTCCGCATCAACAGGCCCAAACAATCTTTCAGATCTCATCGCGTCGATAAAGTGTGGGGAATCGAACACATCCAGACCGGTCCAACTGGTCGCAACCTCGCCACATCCTTGTTCTGTAGGAGCCGTCACACTACCTTCGACGTCATCACCGTGCTCTGTATCTGCCGCCGCAGTCGGTTCCGTATCTGTCGTCGCAGTTAGCTGCATGGCATCAACTGGTTCGGTATCCGCCGCCACAGTCTCCTCCTCGGCGCCCCCTTGTTCTGTATCCGCCGGCACAGTCTCCGCCTCGGCGTCCCCTTGTTCTGTATCCGCCGTAACAGGTTTCTCCACGTCGCCCCCTTGATCTGTACCCACCGTGACCGTGTCATCTTCCACTGCACCAGACAAGAGGGTTCGCGAGGGCATTCGTTTCCTTGCAGCTGCATACGCGGCCTGCTTTCCCATTGGAGGCCGTCCGACAGTTATTGGGCCCCGAAAAGAGGGGGTAAGAGGAGGTATCAACCCTTCTCGCATAGCAAAATCCCACAACGCTTTTGTGCCTAGTACATTCAGCGTTAGAAAAAAGCAAGTCATGTTTATGGCGGGCAACACGCACCAACAAAGTACTCCACTCCTGCTTTGTCCTTACGAAGCCGACCTTTCACGCCTGGTTTTACATAGGTGTGCTCCGAGTCCAGGCCTGTCGGCGGTCGTGCCCTCCATCCAGCCTTGATCAGAGAGGCCCATAAACGCTTGAACTCCTTTGGGTCAATCCACTCCGTCATTTCTGGACGATTTCACGAAATGGTGGGCGAGAAGATGGGATGAAGTTAGAATTTTGAAACCTATGGACGAAATGCGTGGATGACGGGACGAAGTTAGAATTTTGAAACCTCTGGGCATTTTATATTGCCTTTTCTATTGCAGAGAAATAATACCCGTCTATCTCCCGATCTCTGATCCAAAATGATAAGATGCCCCATCCCCACAAATACAAACTCCTATATGCGCAGAATCGCTGTCGCCAATTGCGTATATAAGCTTGCAGCATACTTCCCACTGTCATATTACATATTCTGTATAATACAGAACACCGGGCTTAAAGGGTTAAAATGTCGGAGCGGGAGGATTTTGGCCATCTCTTTAGCTGCACCAATGTTATTAATAGCAATATACGTTACGTATGTTTATAATAATAATAAAACTGTTCTGGCCAGAATCCAATCAGCAGATCTTGCAACCACTCGAAACTCCTTCGTCCTGGGTATTTTTCTGAAAATGGCAGCAGCGTTAGGTTCGAAACGGATAAACCGCTAATTAAAGAAGTAGTACCTTGGATTTTAGGAGCGTACCAGCAGTCGAAGGCTCGGGTTTGCTAGTTGAAATGCAAAGCCCGCACAGCGGTGGAGGGGGTGGAGGGGGCGTGCACTCACGGAGTGACAGTATTTTGTCGATTTCGTCGAAGATCTCGTCTTCAGATTCTGCACGCGAAACAACGCGTTAGCTTAGCAAAATACCACAGCAAAATATCACGCTACTACGCACCATACCTGTGCATGGGGGATCACTAACAATTTGCAGAGGTTTGCCGTCTCGTAGACGTTGCAGCCCCTGTCGACGAATTAGAAAGCTTCAGCACGGCCATCAAAACTCTTGCCACCTCGGCAAAACTTACATCAACCCAGTACATTGCAGCTTTATGCGTCACAGCGCGAAGTGTAATCGTCGTGCCGTTGATACCAAGGCGCAATAATTTGGTATCCTCTCGGTCTTTCTCTAGAAATAATAGAAACTTTAAAATGAACTGAGGGTTTAGAAGCGCATTCTTTGTACGTATTTACTCACCCTTGGCCCTGCCATCGTCGAGAGTAATCTCCGAGGCGCAACGAATGTCAGTGGACATGACCAGCGCTTGGTGAGAAGACTAGTAACCGTTAAGAGCGATAATCAGCACCACCATTGCAGGAATGGGAGCTACATCGTACGTACATGTACTCGGTAGAGAACTAGTTGATGACCGATGGTTTGAAACAGGAACGGCCGCCATGTTCCATTGAGCTTCCGATATTCGAGAAAACCGGAGAGTCCTTGCGATTCATCGTGCACAACCTTGCTGTTCCTCTTGGTAAACGTGTAATATGCTGCCAAATCCACTGACTTAACCGGCGAGTTCCTCGTGCTTTCGGGCCTTCGCAAGGGCGTCGTCTCTGGTTCCGTAACTCTCGCAGGGTCGCAACTATCGATGGAGCTATTCGTGAGTGTGAAAGAGCTAGAATTGCTGACCGGAGCGGCCCCGGCGCTGATGGAGCTGGTGCTCTCATTGCTGGCAGCGCTGCGAGAGCTTAATCGCCACGAGGTACGGCGGCCTGGGTGGGCAGGCGCCGGTATCATACTGGACGGCAACGACCTACGTGACGTCTGTTGCATTGAGTCAGGCACGTGTTGTCAAGGGATTAATAAGTGAGGCAACATGGCGCTCGCTGCTGCGATGGACGATAATAGCCGCCAGTGGGCGGAGACATCCAGCCACATGCTAAGTCCAGCACCAACAATTGGTCCACCCCTATCGATCTTGAACAGCCGCTACCGTTAGCGAAACCATCGTTCGAACCAAATCCGATTACAAATCTAGATCTGGTCCACATTTTTGAGCAGATCCGTAACCTTTTGCAGATCTGTGAACACGAAATGGCGCGCGTCTTGCGGTCGACTCAGTCGTTCGCCGGCCGTGTGGCGGCGGCGACAACCCTAGAACGACTTGAAACGCGGCGGTACAGACACCAATCGAGCACAGTGTCGACACTCGGTATGGCGGCAACTGCGCTCGTAGTGGCGGCGGCCGCATCCGACGGAGGCATTGGGACGCATGCAGAAGCGAACCAGCTGATGAGAGGGGGGATCGGCGCTACAGTGATCGGCGGTGATGGTGAGGAAACGACTTCGAAGCTCAGAGGGGCCCGCCGTGTGCTGCTCAAGCAGCGCAGCAAACACGAGGCCAGAATGCATGAGGTGGACCAGATGAAGACGCATCTGGATGAGTACCAACAGCGTCGAGAGGCCATCGACTCTCTGCGTACGCGGTTCGACATATACGCGAGCAAGAACTTGGATGCAGGCGGCGGCCGATGCGTTAAAGTCATGACTTTTACCGATTTCCTGCATTCCTATGTGTTGCCGCAGTTCCATCTTCATCCCCCTGTAAGTCGCTCGACAAACCATTATACCTTTAGTCTAACATGTTGAAGTGGGGCCTAATAATTACCTTATGACAGCGGCCGGATCTGACGTACTTGTGCGACTTTGTGGGAGACGCTAACGGTCTTATTACGTATGAGGAGTGCTATCTGCTCGTCCATCTGCTGCAGAGTGAGTTCCCCCTTGTCTCACAACAGACGTCACATTAGTGGAAGAGGGTTGAGCTTACTCTTGTTTGCGTATTGTATTGTGTTCGAACAGTCCCGAAAGAGCACTTCGATGTGGCTTTTTGTATGTTCGATCTGGATGGCGACGGATCAGTGGACAAGGCAGAGTTCTGTGCTGTGATTGAGAACCTGCTGCGATCTATCATCCCTCGTGAAGTACCAATTTCTGCTGAGGACACGCTGCCGCGCCTGACCAAGTTCCTGTTTGGACGCTTTGGAAAGATTATTTCCGCCAAGGATCTTGAAGCGGTGTTGGATGGACTCCGCCAGCAAATATTGAGGGCCGAATTTGACCTGTATGCCACCGTGAACCCACTGACGCAGCAGCAAACCATGTCAGTACACGACTTCGCGCTTACGCTTGTGTCGTGCTTTGACCCGGAGAAGCTGCCACCATATCTCGATCGCGTTCACGAGCTAAACGCCAGCGAAGTGCGTTGTCTAAATCTCGAGATTGCATGATCTGATATAGTCTAACGTTTCTTTCCTGTTCGATGATGATATTAGGGGGTGGTGACGTGGGATGAGTTCTTCATGTTCCACTTCAACGTTCAGAGCAACTTGCCCGATATCAAACTTGCGTTCGAACTCACAGGAGCCGATGAGATCACTGAAGGTAAGGCGACAGCATCTCAATCAAACTACAACCAGTCTTTGTAAACAAACGAATGCTTGTAGCGGACTTCATTCGGGCGGCACGCGTGGTGAGCGGCGTGGAGCTGTCGTCTCCAGTTGTGCAGCTCGCCTTTCGCATCTTCGATGAAGACGGTAGGTTGCTACAAGTCTCGCATAGCAAGGAATACTGGAAGCCGACGTATTATTTCTCCGTAGGCAATGGAACGCTGGACCAGTCGGAACTTCTTAAGATACTGGAGATGCGGAACGCAGTGCAGCTTAAGCAGGTGCGTGCGCCGACAAAAGCGTTGCTTTCCCTGGAGTAGCAAACATGACACTTTCTCGTTAAACGTACTCACTAATTTGACTTTAGGAGTTCGATACTGGATCACGGTTAGAGAAACTGTGGCACTGTGTCAAAGCGGGGGACAAGAATTGACGACTTTTGCGGATCGAAGGGTCCAGGCGTGAGAACACAATTGTGCATGTTGAATACCGCCTGGTCCTCGCCGAGGAAAAATAATACTGGAGTGTGTAGTCAGATTCGTGAGAGACACCGTCAAAGTCCCCTACAGACACAGTTACAGAATCAGCTGGGTACTCCATGCTCATGAAGTTTAAACACTTGCACCTCGCATTTGTCTTTTGGGAATTTACAATAGGAATTTAGATTTGATACTATGAATACTACCTGGTATGGTAGTACATGTTAGATAGTACTACGTATTACATGTAGTAGTGGTACTTCAGTAGAAAGCAACAATTAGGTCATACAAGTAATGTTGTACTACAGTACATTATTGTGCATTAGTCAGCATATCCTTGCTTCCACTCCCACATAAATAACAGCCAGCCAGAGCACGGCGATGGCGAAGACCTCCATGCACTACCTCGTGGCTTTCTCATCAGCGTTCTCCTCTACACCAGACAGACTCACTTTGGCCAGCGACCGGTTCACCTGCATGATCGTCACTTTCTTGCCGCTGTCCACCATGACTGCTTCCTCTCCTGCTTCTTCTTCTTCGTCGACGGTTTCCCGCGCTTCCTCCTCGTCACGTCTGACTGTAGTACTTGTATCCTCCTTGTAGATTGCACTGGGAGATTCTGCAGGGATACCTTCGAGCTGTGTATCCTGCTTCTTTCCCTCCTGTGTTTGATTGCTCACGTTCTCTGCTTCTACCTGTCGCTCTTCTTCGGCAGTCGTGTCCTCGATCGTAAGCTTCCCCTTCTCGTCCCGAGATATAGTCGTGATCTTGTTGCCCTTGGATGTGGCCGCCCGCTTGATGGTGATCTCGTCCCCGTCCTCAGTCTTAATGGTCGTCGTGCGCACTTCCGCACCTTCGGCGGCCTCCTCTTCCTCTACCACCGGCACCTTTGTCGCATTCTTGTCCGTCGCGACTATCTCGGTTCGGCGAACGACGTCCTCAGCCACCGTGAAGCCGTCGCGGAACGTGCGTGTGGGCAGCGCGGCACTCTCGTGACGCAGCATCAGTGCCGACAGCAGCAGCAGCGTCCCCGCTAGCACTAGCAGGAAGAACAGGCGCTCCCGAGACGAGTCTCGCCGCATTCTGCAGTCTCGATGTGTTTTTGTGGTCAGGATCGCAAATCAATACAAATACCAAGTGTGGGGTCTGAGTACTGTACAAGCGACAGAGGAAATTCTATAATACAGAACAATGTACTGGGTTATTAATAGTCCCAATCTTTACCATTACGCATGCAAGTACAGTACCTGTCCGGTAAAAAGAATTAAAAGCTAGGTTTTTTTTAAAAAACCTCGCATGTGTGATTGGTCAATGTCCATACTGAGAAAGAGACGATTGGTTAAAATGAGTTCATAAGAGGATTTGTATGTACACGGATTGAGAGTAATTGACACGAAAATGGATTCAATTGCTTTAAGTGATATATCGCTAGATTAAGCTTCGTTAGCGCTTTCTCTAGTATATTTTAACGTTTAGTTCTGATTATTTTTGACATCAAAGCGATCCACCCCTCCATAAAGTGATAGTTCAAATGGTCAGGTATTGGAAAAATTGGCGGGAAGTTTGTTCATATAAAAATCGTGCTGACGCTACGTAAGTAGAGCTTTCAAACTAGCTTAACCACGCTTCCGTTGGAGCTGTACGACCGAAGTTATCGCCGATTTACAGAACTGTTAATTCTTTTTCGGACAAGACAAGTAGTGCTGATTGGATTGTAATTTTTTTTTATTAATATTCTCCTTTCAAATACTCTTTCTTATAATTTTACCTCGTCAACCTACCCGCTTCAAACGTACCTGTGGCGGTGGCAGGGTGCAGAATTTCACGCGATTTGCGCAGCTACAGAGGACGGGAAGCGTATCGAATCGCTGTACAACTCTACACGGACGTCGATAGGACATCATCGCGATACGTACACCTTTCCGTTTAGATCGTGGCCTACAAGCGTGACACAGACAACCGACAGTGCACTATGTAACCCGCATCTTCAGGTGGAACCAGTACGTATCGGTGGACCTTAGGATTAAGCCAGGACCCTAGCCGAAACATAAACGAATGCAAGCACGAAACGCTCTGACGTAGGAGCTGAAAGAATCTAGATTTCTTTACAGAAATTAAGCCACACTTGCATAACTATCATCTACAAATATGACTCCTCGGATTCCTTTTCCTATTTTCTTTTATAAATTACATTATAAAGCAGAAGATCGGACAATGCAGGCTCATATTAAGAAATTATAAATTCTAATCCAGTAGTTCTCTTGACCGATACGCTGACTAGCTGCAGCCGAAATAGCATACGTGAAAGCGCAACGCTGAAGGAGGAGATTGTCGGAACGTGCTACTCTGTGAGCACAGTGCGGCACACGGTCTACATATCACGCGTCATCAAGTGGTAAGACCGCAGGTGCAACGGTAACTTGAGTCATCTTGGCAATTTCAAGGTCTACTTCAAGGTAGGACACGACAGCGTGCTGGACTGGACACGATACCCAAGGACTGCAGGCAGACTAGGTGTAAGCAGGCCTTGCGTAAGTTCTAATCTCACTCACTTTCTAATTCTCCTTCTTCGCCTCACCCGCCTCCTTCCAACCAACTCGACAGGTTATGAGTGCCAACACCACGACCGCGTTCACGACCAAGCTTCGAAAGTTCGACGGAACGGGCTACCGAGTCTGGGCGCGGCAACTCCAACTTTACCTGGAGGTGAAGGACGTATGGAGCGCGGTGCTGAAGCCCGCACCGACGTTGCTCCAGCTCGAGAACGAAGAGTCCGGCCAAGCCGATCGGCCGTTACGGCAGCAAGAGCGACCGCTGCACCAACTGGAGATGCAGCAGAAGCTGGCCATGACCATCATTCTGGCAGCGCTGACGGATGATCAAGCTGCGTTGGTGGCTGATCTTCATCACCCGAAGGCCATGCTGGGGGCGCTGCAGAAGACGCATCGTCACGTGTGTGACACAACCGTTGGGGCTCTCAAGCGAGAGTACATGTCGCTTTATGTCGACGTTGGTGGCGACATGCTGGAGCACGTCCGCCAGACGCGCTTGATGCTTGCTGAGCTGGAGTGCTACAAGGTAGTTCTGACGGACGCGGAAAAGAAGAGCAACTTCCTGCAGAGCCTTGGACCTGACTGGAATGGCTACATTGGATCGCTGGAATCGTGTGCTTCGATGGAGGAATTGCTGATCAAGGCGGCTGCCGAAGCCAGGCGCCGCACGACGCAGACGCAACGCGGAAAGCGTGGTGGAACGCAGGCTGTGCGAGGTGGTAATGCATTTGCTGCTGCTACGCACGGAAAGCCAGGCGCGAAGAAGGGCAAGTGCTTCAGCTGCGGGAAGTACGATCACTTCAAGAACGAGTGCAAGGCCAAGCAAATTGGTGGTGCCTTTGGCCACGCTGCTACATCTGGACAAGACGACGACGAAGGTGAGGAAAGCGGTTTTTCCTTCCAAGTCAGCTCGAGTGCAGAGTCGGTGGGAGCTGACTGGATCATTGACTCAGGAGCTTCGAGTCACATGACGGGATCGCGTGGTCTGCTCAATGGCCTGAACAAGATGGACAATGACATCGTGGCTACGACTGCGAGTGGCATGAAGCTGAGCGCTACGCATCGCGGAACGGCTCACCTACCTCTCGTCTCTGGCGGCACCTGCACACTGGACAACGTGCTGTACGTCCCAGGCCTCAAGCGCAATCTTGTGAGCTTGAGCAAGGTCGGAGCAGCTGGCCTTACGGCAACCTTCAATCGTGAGCATTGTGTCATCACCAGCGGTCACGATAAGCTACTTGCTACACGTCGCACCAGTGGGCTGTATGTTGTATCGGCCCTCAGCACAGGCAATTGTGCTGAGGTGGAATACGCGTCTGGAGACCAATTGGACGACTTAGCTACCTGGCACGCCAGATTGGGCCACTTGAATGCTCGGGATTTGAAGGCGTTGCTGAAAGCCGGTGATGTGACAACCCGAAGCTCGCAGCTGCTCCCTTGTGGGTCCTGTGCAGCTGGGAAACTGGCCAGTGTGTCATTTCCGGAAAAGAAGCCGCGAAAGCTCAAGCGCGGGCAGGTGGTGATCGCTATCGATTATGTGGGGCCAATGGAAACCACGTCACGGGACGGTTACACAGGCATGGTGAGCATGATGATCGAGCCATACCATCTCGCCTCAGTTTTCCCTGTCAAGGACAAGAGCTCGGCCACCCAGCTGAGCGCGCTACGCGAGTGCATCGCCAACCTCAAGGTGGTGATCCCGAGTGCAAGAGTGGCGGTGTTGAAAAGCGACAATGCGGCAGAATACGTGGGAGGAGAAATCGCTGACTTCTGCAATGAAAACATGATTGCACAGGAGTTCAGCACGCCATACACACCACAACAGAACGACAAGGTTGAGCGCAGTAACCGAGTCGTCGTTGAAATGGCGCGAGCGATGATGCAGGCTGCCGGTTTGAGGAAACGCTTCTGGAGTGACGCGGTGCTGACGGCTGCATACATCCGGAACCGCTGCCCAACGAAGGTACTTGGTGGCAAGACTCCGTTCGAAGCGGTGACTGGCGGCGCCCCAGTGCTGAGCAGGCTTCGAGTATTTGGCTGTGATGCTGAAGTCCTACTGCCGAAGTCACAGCGTCACAAGCTCGACGCAAAGACCATCAAGGCGATTTTCATCGGGTACGAGAAGAGCGGCGCCTACCGGTTTTGGGTACCCAGTGGTCACAAAGGCAGTGGGAGAGCTATTGTCTCCATGACTGCAGTATTCTTTGAGTCAAGCGTACCGAAAAACACGACGGTGACGCTGAATGGAGAACTACCAACGCAGGTGTATGACGAGCCAGTGGATGGGGTCGCACCTTCTCGCTATCTCGAAGCGATCCAAGAAGACATCGAGATGGAGGACTCTGATGGCAGTCAACTGGTTAGTGACGCGGATGGCAGTCAACCTTTGAGTGACTTGCCGGAGCGCCATCTCATTGATCCTCGCGCGGAAAAACAGCCAACTCGTCGCAGTACGCGTATCAAGAAGAAATCCGTGCGTAGGCTGGACTACGAGCAGTCGCACAACGCGGAGGAGACAGCATTGGTCAGCGAGCTAAGCGACCCGCTTACATTGCAGGAAGCCATGGCTCGGCCCGACGCAGAACAGTGGCGTCAAGCAATCAACAGTGAGCTGGACAGCCTGCGTCGCAATGGCACTTACGAGGAAGTGTTCGCTCCAGCGAATGTGCGTCCAGTGCAGACCAAATGGGTATTCCGACGCAAGACACTGCCTGATGGATCACTTGACAAGTACAAGGCCAGGCTGGTTGCAAAGGGATTTACACAGCAGTATGGCGTGGACTACACGGAAACCTTCAGCCCAGTTGTACGTCACGACTCGATCCGAGCCATTCTTGCTCTGGCTGTTCAACTGGACTGGGATCATCTTCAGCTCGATGTGCAAACGGCGTTCCTGAACAGCAATCTTGCTGAAACCATCTTCGTCACTCCACCCACCGAGGGCAACGACAAAACGGTATGGAAGCTTCGCAAAGCCCTGTATGGGCTTAAACAGGCATCACGCGCTTGGTATGAGACCGTGACCAAGTTCCTGTGCGAGACTGGATTCGTGCAATGCCAGTCAGACTCCTGTGTCTTGGTGAAGTGGACTACTGATAGCATTGTGGTTGTGCTACTTTATGTAGACGACATGCTAATTTTCAGCAACTTGGCATCGGAGCTTGCTGCATTTCAAGCCAGCATCACCAGTCGGTTCGCGATTAACAAGTGCGATGCTTCAAGCAGCTTCGTGGGCATGGAGCTAGGCTGGAACAAGGACGGTGATGTGCTGACGATCGCACAGCAGAAGTACGCCGCCACCGTTGTGAAGCGGTTCGCCAGCCATGGTGACAGGTCGCAACCCCGGACACCAATGGACAGCAACTTCCAACGCCAAGTAGCCGACGACACCGAAGTCATTGATGAGTCGATCCGTCCTGAAGTCGGTTCACTGCTGTACGCATCAACGGTTAGTCGACCTGATCTCGCAACAGCAGTTCGCCTGATCGCACAAGAGACCGAGCAGCCGACCCGCACTGTACAAGATGCAGTTAGGCGTGTACTTGGCTACATCGCGCGGACGGCCGACATGGGAATTGTTTACCGTCGATCTTCTCAGCGTAAGCTGCAGCTGGAAGTGTATTGTGATGCTGCATTTGCTTGCGAGCGCGAGCGCAAGTCGGCGACGGGATTCGTTATATTCCTCAACGGGTGCTGCATTGCATGGGGGTCGAAGAAGCAGCCGATTGTTACGCTGTCGATTACTGAATCAGAGTATGTTGCTCTAGCGCACGGAGCCAAGGAGTGTATCGGACTCAAGCAGCTGCTGTTCGAGTTGGGATTTGACGTGGGCAAGGTGATAGTCCACGAGGACAACCAGGCAGCTCAGCATGTGGCTGAAGGCAAGGGCGTCTCGCAACGATCGCGTCACATCGACCTCCACTATCACTGGATTCGCGAGCAAGTGCAGCGCGAAACAATCAAGATTGTGTACTGTTCGACCGCGGTCATGGTTGCGGATATGTTCACCAAGCCGCTGCCACAAGCAAAGTTCAGCTTGTTCGTCACGCGACTTGGCATGTGCCGAGTGGGAGTGTCGGAACGTGCTACTCTGTGAGCACAGTGCGGCACACGGTCTACATATCACGCGTCATCAAGTGGTAAGACCGCAGGTGCAACGGTAACTTGAGTCATCTTGGCAATTTCAAGGTCTACTTCAAAGTAGGACACGACAGCGTGCTGGACTGGACACGATACCCAAGGACTGCAGGCAGACTAGGTGTAAGCAGGCTTTGCGTAAGTTCTAATCTCACTCACTTTCTAATTCTCCTTCTTCGCCTCACCCGCCTCCTTCCAACCAACTCGACAGAGATCCATCTCCACAAAACATCGCTAATAGAAAAATTGCTGAACCGTCGGTGAATGTGCGATTCTAATTTAGAAATAATATTTTTAAGAAAAGATTAAGTGAAATAAGAAACTCATATTTAATCAGGGTGAGGTGTTCCAACAGCCGGCCATCGAGTTAAAGTTGGCCAATAAATTTTCGCACTTAACCGAAACGGTGACATTTATTGTAAACTTCCATAAAAAACTGTAAAACTACCCTTATTCAGTTGCTTTTTACAAGAGCTTTAAAATAACACTTAAATTTTTAAAATTGAAAAAATATTGAGCTCACAACACTTCTAAATGTATCGTCTTTTCGAGGGCCCATAAATGGAGATAATATTTGTGAGCGACCACAACTTCTTCAGTTTTAAGCATTCTGTAGCTTATAAGGGTTCAAAAGATAGAGGAGACGCCTCGTTTAGAGTGCTTAAATCGCGATTCGTACTTAGGATCATAAGTATCATTTTGTTTGGGCTGTCTCAGATACAGCACTTAAAATGCCTTCTCAATGAAAAGCTCTCATCTGTCCACCGGACGTGTAAATCATTTACAACCCTACTTAAGCTTCAACTCGATCCGACTCGTATCTTATTGAAACTTTCAGCATGTAAGGATGGCATCTTCAACAACGTCGCTTTGACTCTGCCGCAGCTCAGTTATCTAGGTATTAATAACAGGAGCCGAATGCATTTCAAACTCCAATAAGGCAGGCTTGAAGATAATGCTGCAGCAACCCATGCAGACTGCATTGCATAATGCAGTTGTAGATCTTGCACCGTCGTGATGGTGTGTTGACTCCACCTTGGTGGAGTCATCGTCAATGACAATTCGTCAGCTGTAATTTAGACCGTGAAGCATCAATGTACCCTGGTGCTGCATTGCGATGCTCTCAGTCGATCAGATGTTGCTTTATTAATAGCTGTTACCACGGGTACTTTTGTAGACTTAATGATCAAGTTGATCTCGCACTAGACCAGCTCCTGGTATTAAAAGCTTAACGAAACGAGACAACTTCAAATTCCGATGCACAAACCTAGATCTTACAAGTTCCTGATTTTATTACGGCACATTCTCAGGCAGCTTAGGACACGTGCTCTATGGTAGTGTATTACATGCATAAAAAGAACCGGATCATGATCCCAGTTGGCATACAAATGTCAAGTCAAGCGCGTACGTTTGGCAAACCGGGTAATCACCGCTGGCGGGGCTTGGAGTAAGCCCCTGCATAGCCGAATCTGGCTCCCACAGACCAAAGCTCCACAAGAATGGAGTCGGCAACGTGTGTACCACCCGGTGAACGGCTGGGTGGCAATACGCACGCGTTCCTCGATCTATTCATGGTGGTGACCGTGGGGCTTGCACTCTGCGTCGTGCTCTTCCGCGTTCTATTCACTGTGTTCCCCATGCCAGCACAGAGGCCTGCTAGTGTGAACAACAGCCCTACCGCCAGCCCCGAAGCGCCCCGTAACCTAAAGACCTTGGATCGACACCCTGTCATGCGAGCGACCAGCGTGCGCGACCGTCTGGAACGTGAGACCCGCGTGAGACTACCGCGTCGCTCTACTTACTATTCAATGCCCTTCTTCGCTGACACGGTAGCCAACAAGCAGGAGTTTGTGGAGAGCCTCGTGGAGCTGGGGGACGCGCCGCTGGACGGCTGGCTACTCGTTAAGAAGGGCCTGCAACGAGGCAAACATTGGAAGAAACGCTATGTTGTGCTGGACGCGCACGCGAGGGTCAAATACTACCCGAATGCAGATGCTGCGAGACGCAATACAAACGTCAAGGGATCGCTAGCCGTGCACGCCGTGAAGCCTGCTGATCCATTCGAGTTCGGAGCCAATACCCTTGAGATCCGAGGCACACTGGGCGGCACCTACTTTTTCAGGGCGGAGGACGACATGGCCGCGCGTTCGTGGCTCTGTGTGCTCACGATGCGCGCGATTCAGGGTCACGTGCCAGGGCGCATTGATAGTGTTCTTAGTGCTGCAGTCGCGTCCGTGCCGTCGCAGTCGCAGACGACCAACGGCGGCACCGCGGCCCCGCTCGCGTCCAAACTGCATTCATTCTCTGAGGCGAGCGAAAATGGATTTAACCCGTTGAATGCCACAGCTAGTGCTTTAAACCTCCTAAGTAGTCCAGGTGAGGACGTTGAGGTCCCTCCCGTACGACTGAAATCACACGCACTGGAGCTGGTGGTGCAAGACATGAGCTACGACAAGGACGCGTCGCTACGCCAGTTCTACGTGGTGGCCAAGTTCAAATCCGAACTCCACGACTACTCAAGTGTCCCTGTGGGCCAGACTTCTCCCAAGCCTCGAGGCGAGAAGGGAGAGAAAGGAGCCGTTGTCAAGTGGAACGAAAAGCTGACGTGGCATTTCCAAGATCACCTGTGCTCGGAGTGTCAAGAGTGTCGCTCGTTGGGTGCCATGTCGGGTGCTTTCTGTGGCCTTCCCGACATTATGGTGCTGCACGTGTACGAGATCCACCTACGCTACCTGACGACGAAAATTGGCGAAGTGTCGCTATCTCTCCGCGAACTACTGGGCTTTACGGGCATGCGGACGGCTCAATTCACATGCGCGTGGCCTGTCACATCTACTCGTGATGCCATTCTCGGACAACTCATGCTTTCGCTGAAATACTCGGTGGATAATGCTGGGGGAGCCGAGTTGATGCAGTTTCTTGTGACCTCTGCTGACGAGCGTGAACTAGTTGGAGAGTACCCACTTCACGCATCTTTGACAAGTGCCTACGATTTCTTCAATAATTTTTTGGCGAATGGCACGTCAGACCGCTTGAGCGAATATTACAAGGAGCGAGGGGACACGGAAATTGAGGCCGGCGACTGGACTCCATCCAAGGAATTCGGTGGCCAAACACGCACAATGAGCTGCCGCTCGCCCACGAACGCATCGATTGGTCCTTCTCACACTATGACAACGACAACGGATCACGTGCCATTTGACGAGGGAGGCATTGATGACAGCGCAAAGCTCGTCATGCAGTCGAAGGTATTCATGCACGACATTCCATATGGCGACTGTTTCTCTGTTGAAAAGGTGACTATCGTGGAGCGAGTTCCTTCCAACGACGGAAGCCCAGGACAGCTCGTAGCCAAAATTTACCTCGGGGTCCCGTTCTCGAAGGGCTGTATGTTTAAGTCGAAGATTATTTCCGCGACGCGTGAGGCGATGGCGAGCTCGTCGAAGCTGTATTTCCACATGGTGAACCGGTCCATGGAGAGTCTTGGCGCCTCGATGCCAGCAACGCCTGTAAAGCCATTCTTGGTGTCCACGGAGGAGGAGCGACAAGTTGTTGGCGAATACGAGTTACACCCTGCTATTAAGGATGGCCTGCACTTCTTCGACCTGTTCTACGCCAACAACACGCTATCGCGTTGGCAGACGATTCACCAAGAAGCAGGAGACACGGAGCATGTTGTCGGCAAGTGGGAGGAGTCGGAAGAGTATGGCGGTCAGGTGCGTGAGATGAAGTACCGTGCAAAGAGTACGTCACCTCTTGGACCGTCGTCGACTATGGCAGAACAGATTGTGCACGTGCCGTTCTCTCCCCAAGATCGTAACAGTTTGGACGCAGATCGAATCGTGATCGAACACAAGCTTACGCTGCTTGAAATTCCCTATGGAGACTGCTTCCACGTCGAGACTGTGTATGTGATTGAGCCGCGTACTGATGCTATGGGGTCTGCATTGATTGCCAAGGTCTATATCGGAATCCCGTTTTCCAAGAGCACGATGTTTAAGTCAAAGATCATGTCTGCTACCAAAGAAGGCGTTGTGAAGAGTACAAAGATGGTCGTCGACGGGCTCAACAAGGCAGTGGGCACAGAAGTTCCGGTCGACTCAACCGAGACGTCCCGTAATTCCATAATTACTGAGCATGGCCGTGGCCGCCCGCGGAGGAGTTCATCAATTGGCGCCACTTCTCGGCGCCGTCCAAGCGTGGCACGCTACAACAGCACTCTAGATGGAAGCGTTGCGCTTGAGGAGATTTTTGAAAACCAGCGGGTGAGCATGTTTGGAAAGTGGGCACCAAACCACTTGCTGCCTACGGACCGACCGCGCTTCTCAAACCGAGATGGTGACAAAGCAATGAGTTTCGAGCAGGTTTCTCTTCCTCCTAGCTGGAGCTGGACGACTCCGTGGAGAATTGACAAGAGCTACACAGATTGTGACGACGAAGGATGGAGTTATGCAACTGACTTCCCACGTTTCAAGTTCCATTTGGCTCGGGGCAAGTCTAGCATGAAGCGTTTGGGTGCTTCGGTGCGTCGCCGTCGTTGGATTCGCATGATGGCGTACGTGCCGCCAGAGGTCAACACTGACTCACCAAGCCCACCCGTTGTTAGCGGCATCACCAAACGTCGTAACCGTAACCGTGCCAGTCAGGGCAGTAGTAGCGGCTCGATGGGTTCTTAGTTGGCGAGGCGAGATATTTTAAATCCTAGTGCATACACATTCTTATCTGATTTCGAGGACGAGAAGTATTTCTGAACAACAGCACGCAAATAAAAATCGAGCCCACAACTCAACAAGTCAAGAAGTACCAACAACGATGAACTTCTCCCAGCGTGTACTGCTTCTCATGGCCCTCGTCATGGTGACTTCCTGCTCGTGGACGGCCGGAGCTGGGGGTCCACAGCCGATTTCTGCTCGATACGGTGATTTCCGCGAGCGCATGCTCCGCCAGCGTCTTGCGAAGCAAGCAGCCTATGACAAGAGAGAGCGTGATTTTTTCAGCGGTGAACGCTGGAAGCGCTACTAAACCTGAACCCGGCGGCATGTGCACCTAAGCCTTCCCCCCCCTACCTTAGTAGGGTAATAATGAAACACGACACTTTCCCGGACTCAATCATTTTTTATGCTTAGCTGAGCCTTGTTCATGTAGTGGTGGCTTACATGTAACGCTAGCAATAATCCCAAGGCCTTAGGGATTCTGCTCTTATGTGAGAACCCCCAAAGATTTCAATCCCGATTACTAGCAGAGCGCCGCCGGTAGTTTAGCTTGCAGTGCTGTAAAGTGCAATGCACTTTTCGATCGACCACTCACACAGCTATTTTTAGAGATACAGTCGTGCACCTCTAATTCGGCACCGGTATCAGTCGATACCCTGCCAGATTTTATGATTACGCGAATCAGATGCGCAATTACCTTTGCCCATCACCACCCTAGCAATTAACCTCAACAGTTTTCCCCTCCTCGCGGAGGGATGACACGCCGCATCGATCTGATTTTAAATTTTGGATCAGACGTCTTCATACAAACACACACTTTGATTTTTACCGCCAAAGACAATGGGACATCGCCCTTCCTCCTACATGTCCCTAACTCTAGCACAAAAGCAGTCTTTGTGCGAGAAGCACAAGTCAGGCGCTAAATGAACGTATGCAGCTGGAAGAACGACACGTACTACTACTTGTTGACAATGCTTCGTCGCACAACGACGCTTCTATTGAGCTATCCAATGTTGCTATTCGCAAGCCCCCGCCTAATACATCTGCCGTACTGCTGCCCATGGACCAGGGCATCATTAAGTGCCTGAAGAATGAGTACCAGAACAAGAAGCAAGCCGCGGAGCTGGACCTGTTCTACAAGGGTGTTCCTTACACGCCGGTCGACGTTTACTCCGCCATGAAGTGGTTGTCTGAAGGCTGGAACAACATATCTGCAAAGACTATTAGAAACTGTTGGTGCCACACAGGCATTGTCTCAAAACTAAACGTAAATTTTGTACTGAATTAACAAATTAAATATCAGTGCACTGGATTTGCGTTTGTTTTTTGCTTTACGTTGTGCACTTATGCCCTGGCACTGTTGATATGGTCCGCCCTGCCGAATTGGAGGTGCACGACTGTACTTAAAATCATGTAATATACATGTAGGACCACGTTGGTGAGCAATGTGCGAGTATTCCAAGCAACAGTGTTTAGTATTTTTGTTTGTTATGGTAGCTACTACGTAGTACTTCAGTACTATTTAGCGCACGAGCTGCAACTAATTCGTTGTGCTCACCGAAGAAGCCGTGGAGCTGGTATCGCTGTCGGCACCATCGCTTCTACCACGAGGGCAATGTCGATCATTGACAACACGTTCCAGGTCGAACTCCAGCTCCTCGGCGACTGCAGCTTCATCTTCGACAAGATCTTCGATCCCTAGCTCATCTTCGAAAACTACGACTTCAGTGTTGTTTAGCCAAGGTGTCGTATATATATTGTTGGGCCTTGACACCCATGTTCGAGTAAATGAACACCAATCTCCAAACTAAGTCGATTTTGTCGCTACGAGTTGATGTAGTCGTGTGTCTACTGACGAGGTTGAGATGGCGAACACTCTGTGTGCTATCTTGGCCAGCGTCGAAAATATCTTGATATGGATGAATATACATACACGTCTTCCCGACAGACACAAAAGCAAGATTGTTATCTTAATTTAGCCAATAAGATTGCACAGGAGCAGGTTCTTCATTCCAACATTCTCTGACTAATGTCGAGAGCTAATTTTTAGAAACCAATACTGAATATAAGTCGTGTAAGGAATATGTCAATATTTTTATGATTCCGACAATGCCGCATACCTATTAATATTGAACAGTAGTGTAACGGTACACTCAACTAGTCATGTCCAATAAAAAAACAGAAGAGACAAGCAGCAACCAGCATGAGCCTCTCCGCACTTATCCCTACAAACACGCAAAAAGCGTGTACTACCGGAATAGGTGTGTTCGAGCGAATGCTGAAAGTCGAGGATAAAGTAAGAAATCGCGGTGTTGGGCGCAAACTTACCTTTCTTACCTTCGCATGTGGCGAGATAGTAGCCAAAACGATCCATCACTGCCGCTTAGATCTTTCCGGAGCTGTCACTGAAAATGCATGCTCGGACAACGTCCATGAATATAAGAAACGTGAAGCTTTGTTTTTATGAGTATCCTCATCTTAGAGAACCAACCGCGTTAATATTGCTTAAACAAGGGAAGACTCTAGAAAACACTGCCTAAAACGTGATAATGGAGGGTTTACTAACAAGGCGCCACCTTGTACAAAGGCGGATTTGCGCTCACTAATTTACTATGTGTACAAAACAGCATCTGTCGCCTCGGATTACGAAGATGCAGCGCTTGCGTGCATCATGTGGCATTGCTTCGGCCGTTCATCGGATCTCGGCCACGTCACAAAGCAGCAAATCACAATGTCAGCTGACAACGTTTTTTACATTCGGATGCTACAAATAAAGACAGCTGAGGAGCAAGGCCTCACGCTCGTACCTGATCGGGCGGATTTTGTGACATGCCCGCTGCGCACGCTCGCAGTAGCCTTGGTGACGCAGGAGTCGCCTTGTGTGTCCCTGCTTAGCCAGCTCCCTTCTCTTGTGACACCGTCTGCGCCCTCACTCGATGCAGGATCACCCTTCTCGATGTACTACAAGTACCTTCGGTCAATGCTGCCATCTCTTCGCAGCTTCCTGCAGCAGGAATGACTGACCGGGCTGCCGCCACCAAGCCAAGCGTTCTGAGCTCCGCTGCTAACCCTTCAGCGACCAACCAAGCTCGCGGTGACGACGGTGTCCAAGCGTACGTGAACCAGTTCCTGACGCGGGTGTCAGAGCCAGCAGGAGCCTCAGTAAAATTTATGCATGCTGCACCCCGCCCCGCCTGAAGGAGTACTTCGCACTCCTTCAGGCGGGGCGGGGTGCAGCACGAAAACGGGGATGAGCGGCTGGCTGCACAGTGGATCTTTGATCGTGGGTCATGGGATATGACGCGCATCAACAAAGGCTTCGCCTACGTATTTAACACGCCACGCGAGGACCGAAAAGTAGCACGGGTCTTGAGCGGGTGGGCTACTGACGAGACACCGACGATTCTTGATGTTGTCATTCTCGACCATGGGGCACAGGAGCGCATTACCCGATTGCAGGAGTTGCTGTTCGCTTCCTGTGTAGGGCTGAAGAACAACAAGCTTAACGCGAGTCGCAAAGAAATTGGGGTCTATACTACCTACCGGATTAGGCATTTCCAGGCGACATGGCTCAGCGCGACCGACCACGCCAGCAGGTCGGTGTGGGAGATGTCAGCTGCTTCCAAGCATTCTTCTACTCGAACAACAAACAAGCTCCTGGGATCCAGAGTCTTCCCTTCCGCCATATCTGCTCAACAAAGGAATGACACTGAAAAGAAGGACTGCAATCGAACGGAGTGTCATCACGCTGCTGTCATTAACGAGCTTATCGAAAGCAATAGGCTGTTGTCTGCATGCCTGCTGGTGCTGGGGGCTGCCATCATTAAGCGACCTCCGCATAAAGAGCCAGCCCAAACTACGGAACAGGAGCAATTTTCGTCAGCAAACACCTGCAACGAAACGCAAAAAGAAAGCGACTACCAATCTGTCATCGATCTGGTTCGAGTGGTACACACAGCAGCCTCGCGTCTGGAGCTCTAACGACCGACAAAAGAAGTCAGATTACCGCTTGATCGTCGTGTACATGAAGCTTTTCCTTGAGGCGGGTTCAAGCTTCACAAGAGATCGGAGGACTACAAGGATCGTGCTATCGAGGTCAGCCAACGCGCAGTATCGGCGGTCCTCAGTTTTCGGAGTGGACAAGGCATCAGAGCGAGGGCAGCAGTAGCGTACTGCGTGAGATGCGCAAACTTCATCTTTTAGGGTCTCACGACGGCTGTACCATCACACCTCACCGCGGACAAAATTGCTGACCCCGCGCCTACATCAAATTAAGACATACTTCAATTCGAAGGACATGTGTAAGACAATTCAGTAGATGTTTAGGAATAGCAACTCTTCGGAAACATCATAAAGCCAACAGCAGGGAATTGGACCCCACTCGTTACCATCCGAGCGCTGCACCAGCAGTGCCGGCGAGATTCGTTTGCGCAATGGGATTCTGTGCTCTGGTCCTTTGCTAACGAAGATTTGCTGGGATGGCTCTGGAAAAGAAAGACTGAGACCACATGCCCCCTGTTGGTAATTTGTGGCGCTGTATAATTGGCTAGGTAAAGAACCTAGGCAAGGTTTAATAAGTGACGTTGTTTTATTGGCTGAACAACAAACCTGAATGCGGTAATTCAAATGACTGGCCTACGACAACGATGTCACTATTTTTGTCACTATTTTTAGCCTAAGTGTCATTCTTCTAAAATAATTTCTAAACGTGGCCCCTCACCCTCGCGTCGGGTCTCATTCATGAATTTGCTGGCTGGAGAGCATAGTGCTGGGAGGCCTATAATGCCCCTAAACAAAATCAATGAGTTTTCTCGGCCTACAGGCCTCTTTAGAGCATTTCCTTGCGCCTTCGAGTTCTCTTTTTAAAGCTGACTGGAATGGTCGTACTTATAAAAGCTAGCGTACTTAGTGTAAGTGTACTTAATCTGAGTACACCGTCATGATCTGATTGGCGGATCCGAGCTGTCAGAAACATGTCGGAAAGGGTTAGGGTGTCGGAGCGGTTGCGATATGGGTGTCCCACCAGCTAATTGGGGAGTAACGGGTCTGTTTCTCAAGATCTTGCAGGGGGCATGACTCTTTCATGGTGATGAAGCGCCCAATCTCGTCTCGTAGGAGAGCGAGTTCCCTCTCGTCGAACTTGAAAACATCAGGTAATATGTACCCCCTTGGAAACTGAAGTAATGTAGACGCCTCGGCATGGTCTAATCGATCATAATCGCGAGTGGACTTCCGTTATCACCGCTCATCCGCACAAATACTCACTGTACTGTTGTCAAGCTCAGGAGCGACGCCGTCCTTAGTCTTGTTGCGCGCGTCTAAGCTGAAGTAAGTGCGGGGTTTAGGTGAGTGCGGGCATCGACACAGCCCAAAATTTAGAATATCTTCTATCAGAAA